CTCCTGCAGTCTTAATCAAGTGATATTTCATAAAGCTTTTGCTTTTCGTCGACCGAACGAGCAATCCCTACCATTGTTCAAAGTTCGATTCGCAAGTACAGCTTCTCACATCTCAAAACATCTAGTTCAAAAGATTTCGTACCTGGTGGGATATACGTGATCTTTATATATCGTTCGTTGCTGTTAAATCCCTCATGCTTAATCGAAGAAATTTGATTGTATACATCTATTTGATCATTACTACTGTACGGATCATGGGACATCCAAGAGGTTGGTATTTCTGTACTAGTCCTACGATGAAAGTAGAGATTCATTAACTGCAATTTGTTTTTCAGGAATAATGTACCTTTAGATTTTCGATGTGCAGAAGCTGAATGCATGCAAAAAACAGTTGGTAGTGCCTATTGGCGGTGAGTCTCTGAAAGAAACATATTCTTGGTTATCGTTTCCGTTTGCTACGTGAAGCGCAAATTATTAATCAATTAAAAAGGATGCTTGTATGTCATTGTCAATAATTTGAAAATTAAATCGGGAAACTGTCCAAATCACCGAGGTGAAGTGCCAGATTATGGAAAGGAAAGCAGTCCCTAAGTAAATTAACCCTAACTGCTGCCTGCTCGAAGCAATGTTGACGATGGGCACTAGGAATTCAGGTGGAATATATGCTCATGAAACGCTAGTTCCATATTTGAACGGAAATATTTCATGTGTCTCTGCCTTGGGCACGCTCATATGATAAGTACAAATTTTTGCGCATAAATGATTCTCGAAACATATCTGCATATATTTCGTTTTAAGTTACGAGCAAACGTATTCATGGTGATGAGCATCAATCGAGATAGTGATAGACATTTATAACTTCGTAAATGTCCGCTGCAGAATTGATCCTATCCAAGGTGCTTTTCCTATCATCGTCAGTTCGACAAAATCAGTAAAAAGAAGTGTGACGTCAAGAAAAAACCTGGATGTTGTTCAAGGCTGTGTCCTGACCGACCTGTTGTTTAGATTTTTCAAATGATTCCGTCGCTAGTTATCTTCATAAATGTATTGATTATACTGAAAAGGCTGTGGTCCGAAGCGTTCTGACGGCGTTTGGCGACTGCGTAGCTACGAAAATGGTATTTGTAATTTTTTCGCACTGTATTTCTTCAAGTGAGGCTCATCTAAACATTTACATGACCAATAAAGCGATCCACATGATTCGCTGTACCAAAATTCGCACTTTATCAATCATCCTCGATAAATGCGACAAACCTATGATCCAGATCCAGCACTGAGTATTTTGTTGTCACTCTGTCGGTTGAATTCACTGCATTTAAATGTTAATAATCCGGTGTTGCAGGGTACCGCTCTACCCGAAAAAACAAGCACTTCAATGAATCAAGGGAAAGAATTGAAGCCTTGGCTCATGCACGTGTACTTCATTTATTCAATTATTTAGCATCAATGGCCTTTCCGCGGTTATTCGCTTGTGACTTTATGGCCTTATGAGAGTTAGTTCGGATAGTAGGAGAGCTTAGTTGTCAACCCAAAAATGATCGGGATTCGCTTGCTGCTGCTGAATAGCAGCAGGGCACAATATTCGCATGTGAAACAACGTTTTTGTCCATCTGCTGCAAGATAGCCTTCCGCAGTGATTGTCGTGAGCGTATTCAGCAGACGCTGGTGTACTTGTATATATGCTGGAACTGAACTCAAGAAGGAAATATGTTATTCCTGTCTCGACGAACCTCCCCTGCGATTGCACTCTGTTAGTCCGCATTACTTAACTGTGCTTAATCTAAAATAGAACTGTCATTTATTAGTTATGAGTAACCATTTCCTGCGATAACCGTGGTATTTTAGACATGCCATGTGATTCAATTCAAGCAGCAAATGTTCAGATTCGGAGAGTTCAAACAGCATTCCTAATTTGTGACGTGCATTATGGCACCCTCACTGTTTGACTGCTGAAGAAGAGCCGATTCAAACACCTGTAGTTTCAATACAAAATTGAAATGTGCTTCTCTGGACATACCTACTATTATGCTTCCGTGATCGGATCGTTTCGTAATTTATTACGCAGCTCTGTTTTTTCTGTCACATGAATCAACAAACATTATTTAAATCCCATGACTTGTTTTTACACAAGCCTCATAATCCTCCTAGCGAAAAACAGGCAGTAACCAGAGCGCAATCATGGTAGGGCAAGACCTGAACGGTAGCCGTACGGCATGCGACAGTACTGATTCGCATCAGGATATTCCGCCTGAACCATCTACAATGACAAAGTTCTCTTCCAATGACGGATGTTTTCACTAGCTTTGAAGGCTAGGAAAAGGAGATTGATCATGTTCGGCGAACTGCTATTGCATAAACCATCCAATCTATCTCGACGGCTTCTCGTATGGGCGACAAAACACAGTAGACCCTAACCAGGACGAGAGCAAATGATACTGAGCAATAAAGTGGATTCGCATCGGTGTTTGAAGGGAAATTTTTCTATAAAAAACTGTTACTAACAGCAACTATCCAACGGTCATTTTAGAACTTTAAGTTGCAATGATAAATCGATCTTCCTTCATGATATGAAATGTGTGCACATGGGGCGTTAAAGTATAGCATAGATGATCAATTTGTATCAATCAATGTGTAAAAATTGGAAAAAATGTTTCTGAAACGCCTTCAAGGCTTCCGTGCCGAATATCTGCCTGAAACTGCCTTAAGTGTCCCTTTTTATAATTGCAATCTCCATGTTCAACGCTTTCCATCTATGAACAACGTGCTAAATGTGACGGTTAAAAAATTACTGCTTCGAGATATTCTTCAAAGGAAATAGTGCGATAGGGAACCCGTAGTATAAACGTGATCTGCGCTTAAGCGCAGACAGCAGAAACGCAAAGCACCGAATCGGATGCAATGACAATGACAGCGTTCACTGAAGTGAGACTTGTAGATCGCCGGAAACTGCAATATACTAAATTAGGAGACACATTAGTTGTATTAACGTTAATCATTTAGGTATGGTGACTAATACCGTTTTAACAGCAAGAACATCGAAGTAGTCGATGGAAGGTAGATAAAACGAAGCTACTATAGCGTTTTCAGCTGCTGATGGCTTATCTCCTTTGCGCATCGCCTCTCGGAGGGTCGAAACAGGAGAAGAAACAGCACGTGTTTGCCGCACCTCGTGGAACATATCTTGTATAATACACTCAGAACAACGCGCGGATTTAGATCGCTGGGCAGTCATATCTTTCAGACCCTCTAACGAATGATTTCCCGTTCTCGACTTGGTCCATTTCCGCGGAGAGATAAATTACTTGTCGATAATCACAATCCCATGAATTCGGTGGAAAATTTCAAAATGTTTTCCATATAATCGATGTTTATTCAGCAAGGCTGGTTTCGCCCTCAAATATTCCGCGGCAGTTCCAATACCACGCGATACGCTGACAAGGTATACTGCTACTAAAAACGTACTTATTATCACTACAAATCCAAATCCAATTTTTCTCGGTTGTACTAACTTCATCCGTGGTTTTAACGCATGGAGACTAATTAACTCTTTCGTGATACTTTTGTCCTACACAAACAAGTGCCCTTCATTCTTTGACTGGTCAACAACGTAAAGACACCACGTGGTCATACGTCTAGAACCGTACACTGCCACTAAAACAGCGGCAAAGGTAAATTGTTTTGCATTATGGGCTGAATTTATGTTCTAGGGAGTTTCTCAAGAGCCAATTTGGTTCAAAGTTCAGCATGTTCTTTCCTCATCGTCAAGACTAATAGCCAATCGGCTTTCAGAAAACGGATGATTGCTTTCATTCGTGTTGTTGTTTTAGAAAAATATACTTGATCCATGGGATTAAGACTCATAAATTACTTGCTGTGGACAATGGCTTGTTCATACTAGGTGCCAGTTACACGGCACATTGCGGACAATAATGACACCACAACAGCCTGGCCAGATCGAGCAGAGAGAATTTCCCGTCATATTAGAAGGAGGCCAAGAATTCTGCCGATGTAATCAAAGCAAACTGCCAGAGGAGTTGTGTTTTAACAGTATGTTTCCTGACCATAATTGATATCGCTTAGGCAGAAATTTGTGCTAAATAAGTTTATTTAATTATATTTAGATTTTTACCCTTCCAATGTCGTTAGTGGTGGTAATCTTTTACTTAGTAGATGAACAAAGAGCAGTGAAATGACAGGAGCCCATACAGGATGTTAGTTTGGCTTTGCAGTTTTAAAGTTAAGATCTCAGCGCGGCACTAATGTTTCAGTCAGTTAATACAGTTGATTGAAAAAACCCATTTTTGCACTGATGGACCTTCCCGTTAAGCGCCAATTCCTTTCTAGCCTGGATTCAAAAGAAACAGCGCTGTGGTTTGGTGAATCAATGCATCAGTGTAGGAAATGCACTACCAGTCTATCTGATGTACTTTCCGTTTACCTGATAGCCCTCAGTCGAGTGATTATATTGTTTAGATTGAAAATGCTTCCACTTCAACATATTGTTTATATAAACTTTTGTATTGTTCATTAAAAGAATTTACTTCTAACTTGTACTTGCAAATCCCTTGTAAATGTATACTATGCTTTAAAAAACAGCTGGTCTGAACTAGCTAGTGCGTCATAAATAGCGAATTGGGTCTTGAGGCGAGTTTTTTCGACACGGTTCTGTTTGGAAGCCTGTAGCTACAAAATGTTTCGCTGCGAAGTGGGTCATGGTGGTTTTATCGGCTAAACATAGGTTGTCGCAGTGTTTCATGCCGTTGCTATTATCGTGGATGTCGTAGCGGTTTAATTATTTGCTTGGGCTGTGATTCATCAACGTTTTTATTGCAAGAGGTCATTCACTTGGCTATGATCGACGGTAGTAGTTGAAAAGTTTATGGTCAATAATTTGACTAATTCTGGCTGTGCGTTATGTAGGGTACAGAAAGGAAGGCGTTCGCACGCGCTGACTTGCACTTTGCTGTGCTGTGGTGAAAGTGTCGTAAAGGATGGCTGAAGCGCCGCCGAAACCGATGGAGAGCCCGAACGTGGTTAGCAGCTTTCTTGGCAACATGATGTCGATGGCTCGCGAGAAGATGCTTGGCGAGTCTTGGTGGGTGCCGTCGTCCGATTCGGAGGTTGTCGACGTGCCGGCTCGAGGTTTGAAGTCGTTGAGCGAAGAAAAGCAATCCGACTTGTTCTCGATCTTCGTTGAAACTATGAAGACCGGAAGGCGCTACCATCTGTTGCTGCGATGGCAGAATGGTCAACTGCTGTCCCTGCAGAGGTCCACTTCGTTAAAGACACTCGAGAACGCCTTTCACAGTCTTCTCCAGTATTCATCGCTCTTCAGTTTGACAGGCACGTCGCCAGGACTCAAACCAGACAAGCAAGAATGTAGGGAAACAACATAATTA